AATCTAAGACACATTACATTATTTCATTAAAAATGGATCTGCCATGTTCAACAGTTACATTTAGTGAGTTTTCTTCCTTTCAGAAACTCCTGATGACAATATAGCAGGGATCCCCAAACTTTTGAGGGTGAGGGCCACATCATATATTTTCAACATTTTTGAGGGCCAAAGGAACGTCTGTGCGCACGTGGCTGCACAGACGCATGCACGCCAGCACAGACACCCCACTGCACACATGCAGCCCCCATGCACACGGGCTGAAGGGAACGGGCCAGATAAAATGGGCAAGGCGGGCTGTAGTTTGGAGACCCCTGCAATAGAGTAATGACACAGGTGAATCTTCTTTACAGATCCTATCTGTAGGTTTAACCACTGGCTTCAGACAATGAGGGATGTGAAAGGGAGTGACTGGATGCCAAAGGCAGGTGTCTGCAGGAGTCTCCAGCAATACCATTAAAGTAAGATAGGTCTAACACAGTATCTGGATTTCCAGTCCATTCTTGAGAAAGCTGTAAGCTTCATCTAGAAGAGTGGTTCCCAACCTTGGGTAATCCAGGTTTTCTTGGAGTGCAACTTCCAGAAACTCCAGCCAGGACATCTAGTGATGAAGGCTTACAGAAGCTGCACTCCAAGAATGTCTGGGTTACCCAAGGTTGGGAACCACTGCTCCAAAACTTTCCCTGCTAAGAGGTAGATGGGTTAGTCCAGAAATTTTCTTGTTGCAATATATTATTTTATTTTTTATCATATTTTAATGTTGCTGTTTATATTGTTGTTAGCTGCCCAGAGTGGCCTGGTTGCTAGATGGTGCAGGGTATAAATCCAATCAATCAATCAATCAATCAATCAATCAATCAATCAATCAATCAATCAATCAATCAATCAATCAATACATTTTCTATGTAATTAAGCAGCTTTCTATTCCAGATACTTCAAATCTTCCTATTTTTGTGAAAATACATTTTATGGTACAGCAGCATCTTGGATACATTGCACTGCACAGTATTTCCTCATCTTCTGAGAAGGTACACTTTACTCATTAAATGGCATAGTGACAAAAACCCAGGTTTATTTGAAACAAAAGTTGCAAGTACTGCAGATTTGCAAATACAGTACATGTCTGCAAGATCAATCACCCAATCCCAGTTTAGATTACCTAGTTACCAGGACTCTTTTGTTTCTAATATTCCATGTGAAAGTAGAGGGAAGCAACAAGTGACCAACCTGTATTTTTATGACCAGACTAATTTTTATTCAATTAAAATGCTCCTTCTTTACCTCTCTTCCCACTCCAGATACAGTATAGTTTCTCCTTTCACTCTTTTCTACTAGGAACAAGAAAATAGAACTAGAGTAATATGCTGCATTTAGCATCATTATACTGGCTGTGAAGAAGCAGCAAGAAAAGGGGTAAATAGGTTCTGTACTTCCCACCTGGCTGGTTGGCCTGAGGGCAAATACTATTCCATAAAAACAACCAGTCAAGTGGCAGACTTGGGTATTTGCACTGCAAAGCCAGCAAAACAAAAACAACTCTCCCCTCAAAAAAATTAACTCACTAGGCACAGCACAGACAGTGGATCTATATGCTCTTGTCTGCCAAAACCACAGATAAAATTTTCACACATTCTGTAAAACTGAAAAACTAAACCAAACTTTGTTTCAAATTTTAAAAAGCAAGTGAAAGTGATCCAATTTCAATACAATTCATGTCTTTCAGAATACAGTATCTCATACTTTTAAAGAAAATGTGAGAAGAAAGCGTTGAATGCAGTATGTGAGTAGATGTCTGCACCTAATCTAAGGACATCTTAGGGTCCCAAGATTGCTGTCATGTATTCATGAAACACCTATGTACAGAAAAAAACTTCAATGAAACTAGAAAATAAAATTCCTAATCATGATTTCAGCAGAAACATGTTTGAATCAATTAAGAGAGTCAATCAGTTGTCGATTCTAAAACATAAAATATACTAATAAAGCATACATTTTGGCTGCCTTTCATATCACACAGTTCAGAAAAATTCAGTACTGCACTGAACAAAAGATTATTTCATCCAGTCTAGTTTATCAACTAGTATAGTTGGAACAAGTATATTATTTGTATAATAAAAGAACTGAGATCAAGCAAGTTAAACAACTTTCTGAAGTGGTAGAACTTTCCTAAAAGCTTGTACTTTCATGCAATATAAAAACACTAAATGGCAAAATAGATGGCTCTCATTAAGTCACCAAAGGTAGCAAGCTTTACTCAAACATTAAACTGAAAGAGATAAACTTCCAAACATCAAGTAATCCCTTGTAACACAACAAGCAAACTATTAGTAAAAGTTGGAATAGTAACATACAGGCTTTAGTTGAATTCTCTAATTAGAATAAAACAGCAGCAATAAGTATTCCAATGAAGAGAACAGAGACTAGTGATGAAGTCCAAAAGCTCAACACCCATGTAAAAGGATCTGGGTGAGACCCCCAAAGTTATACTGAGTAGGCACATAAGCTGGCAAGCAGCGGAACCAAGATCATTGGCTACAGAGTTTGCCTCAGATGAACAGACACACCAGAGAGGCAGCACATAGCTCTCAAATGCAGACACATATGCAATTTCACCAACAAGCACTCTATAATAATAAAACACTATGTCAAAATTATCAGAACAAAAGATGTTGCTCTCCTTCTCCTATACACTGAAGAACAAAGCAATTTCAAATAGCATGCCTGAGTACTATTGCAGAATTACAGATCAGACTACAGTATACGGACGTTATCAAAAACTACCAATGACACTGCAAGATTAACTGCTGATCATGCAAATGCTGTGCTAGACATGAAGGGACTTTTGTAAATGGGGTGAAGCAGCAAAATCGCCACAGAGTATCTGCAGACAAACCATTAGAAGTATAAAGGCTTTTATATTTTGACTCTAAACTGTGCAACCAGAACGGAAACTTTATCACTTTATTACATTTTGCTAATGTTTAAGCACATCAGTCAACACTGATTTCAACTCATTTAGGTCAAGGCTTCCATGTCAAGCTAAGGTTATGAAACTGGGTTTTCAGAAATTTTACCTGGTACTGCACAATACAACAATGCATTATTAAATGAAGATACTTTTAAAGAATACAGCTTGCATCTAGTGATCCAATTTCAATGCAATTCACATTTACGGGTTCCAGAAAACCTCATACTTTCAAAGAGAATGTTAGAAGAAAAGGTCTTGGCCATAATATTGTTGAATGCAATTATTTTGTATGCCCTCTCTGCTGGGTCACCTGCTATCATTTTCCTTCTGTCACTATAAGTTCTGGCTTAAAGCCACTTCTCTGTTGCCCTTCATAATGTCTGAGCAATCAGCTGTCCAAAGACCACCACTTAACTTTTGGGGGGGGGCGGCGGCCCTGAATGGATACATTACAGAAAGAGAAATAAAACCTCAAATAAGCATTCATAAATAAGGATTTATTAAAAGTACAACTTTGCCTGCCATGTTTTATAAATGATTTTAGGGCATTGTAAATGAATTTGAATGCTAAAATAAAATTAAAATACTGAAGTTATATATTTTCCAGTGAGTAGCTGTATTTGTTGCATTGTTGCAGCAAAACAGCAACAATAAAAAGTCCACTAACCAGTTTAAGTCCATATGTTTTCATGGGCTGCAGTCCACTTTCTCAGATACAATATATGTCGCTGATGAATATAAAAACATGCTGAGCAACTTGCATGTATCCATAAATTTCCAGAGTGTGTCAGTCTGAGGTCAAGCGATACTAGTCCTGCTTTCTTTTACTCCTGGGGCATCAGCACAAAAATCCAATGCCTATTTATAAGAGCTACCACACATTTCCGTATTTTCAATAGAGTTTCTTTTTTAAAAAAAAATTATCCCACTACAAGAAGATAGATATGACTCAAGTCAACCCCACTACCATACATATACAGTAAGCTTTAAAAGATGTTTAAACGTATTTTTAAATTGTCCAACTATTTAGAAGCATCTATTTGAAGAAAGTACCATTCACTGGCACAAAGGACAATCTGACAGCTCATGTGCCGGCCAATATAGTTCAGACAAGTTTTTGTTTTTAAAGGCCAAGTCTACCCTCAGCCATGGATGGCAGAGTAAATCACTCTTGCTTTCTAGAATCCAGCTCAGCGGGAAAGAGTGGACTATCGTCCTGTTCCCAAGTTCAAGGCAGAACAAAGAGGACGACAAAAGCAACTTCACTACATTTAACACATTCATCTGGGAGGAGCAAGACTAAACAAGCCGAGGATCAGCCGTCCTCCCTTGCCGTACCCTGCCCGAAAGCCAGGCCCTGAGGTGGCAGGTCCCTCGCCTCGGGTGGAGCAGCGAACAGGGCTGGCCGGGGAGAGGGCTGCTCGGGACTGGGAGGGGACACAAGACGGAAGAAGGGCACAAAAGAAAGAATGGGAAATATCCCATCGAGGTTTTCAGAGACACCCCACCACCATCACCACAGACAGACAGACAGACAGACGGGGAAATACTGTGTAGACGTATAGGCCGGTAGCTTAAGGCACAGTAGAGAAACAGTCGGAAACTCTATCTCCTCTCATTTCCTTTTGAACTGGAGGAGGAGGAGAAGGCTATTAAAACATTAACAGGAATACTCCGTTGTTAATGCTGCGCCTCAAGAAATGTCGGGGGAAATGGCCAAGATTATTCCTGAGGGTAACCAGGAAGAGAGTAGGGAATAATGACCGGAGAAAAGGACCATATTAACCCTCTTGAGAGGCTGCCGGGAACTGAGCGCACCAGGCATTTTAA